GAAGACATCGCTCCGGACATGGCTCAATCGCACGAAAAAGCTGAAGTAGTTACAAAGGAGAAATGCACAAATTGGAACATCTGAAAGAATTAGAAACAGCTGGCACAAATGACACTCTAAGGTGACGGGCCCCCTGGGGGGGGGCAGGACTTCAGGGCGGACGTACCACCACACCTTGTGCCAAAAGCCTAAGAGCATCGATAACTATGATAACAACGTAAGCAGCGCCCTACTGGTAGCAATGGGATAACAAGGTTGCCATTCACATTGAGGCGACAGCGTGCCCAATAATTGTTACTGCTTCGATGTGGATGGCAGATTTACTGGTAGCACTGGCAACGGTTGTGCAACATCACTTGTACCAGTGTGGTCACAATATACATCACTATTTTACTTTGCGGCTATCAGATGCAAACGTGAAAGCTCGTCCCAAAATGAACGTGAAAGCTCGTACCAAAATGAACTGCAAACTACTGACTCTGAATCAAACCCAAAGAACACCCATGTTAACAAGAAGAAAAGTGCAAGTTACAGGCATAAACAGATCAGACTCAGACTAAAATGAGGATCGCACAACTCGGACTTTCTGTAATCCTCCTTGTTCTATAACTCCTTATCGCAGTCCTCATACGCTAAGTACAGATTCCTGACGTTTATGTGCTTCCTTGGTGGCGTAGTCACAGCTCGTACGAAATGAAGTCACGCCACCGAGATTTGCGGTGGGGGATACAGGTGGTGGATTCATGATGTACGTGTGTATGTTATATCATCTCAGCTGGAAGGGTACACAATCCGGTCTTCGGTACTTTGAGGCATGGGAGCTAGCCAGCTAGCAGCATCAGGAAGAGCGGGCGGTGGAGAACGCAAAATGCAGCTCTTCGCGATCCCCAGGCTCTGCCTGTTCTTGATGGTCACGATCTCGCGCAAGCGGCAGAAGTCTCCTGCTTTCGCCCACGACAAAGCACGGGAAGCCCGGACGAAACACTTAGCTTCAATCAATCTGAGGCATGTTACGCTTGGAGCCATGGAAATCAGAAGTGTGCCTTCCATTGAGTAGATGCCCTCCACCACTACGAAGATCTTGCGCCACGGCTTTCCGCTGCCTCGAGGCCGAAATCTAACATAAACCAGACAGCAAGACTTTGTAACTGTAGTTGTTCCAATCCTCCCTATCTGCATGCTAAACCGCTAAACAGGGCCTTGTCGGCTCGAGACTAGCAACTCTGCAGGAGAACCCGCCTGGTTGGCCCTTCTCCACTGCCTTCTGCAACTCCCCTTCCAAGGCAGTCATGTCGTTGTGGGTGAAGGCACGCACCGTGGCACCAGAGAGGCGCACGCCTTGGGCCGTTGGAGACGCGAAGAACTTGGAGGTGATGCTTCGGGGATGTGAAAGGGAGGCATCGGGCCTTCCACAATCGAGCGATGATTCAGCTCGTCACTGAGGACTAAAATGCCACTGCCGTTAGCATTGGCCTGACACTCGAGATCAGGGCACGTTGCGGCCTAGCTTCCTTCTTGGCTCTCATGCAAATCCGACTGGCCTCAAACAGAGCCGGAAGGATGGTGGAGTTTGTAGCGAAGCCCATTCCCAGCACCAAGGCATCCTCCTCGTAAGCTTGCAAGCTGTGGTCAATCCACAGTCAGCAAAAGTTCTGGACGTGACTCTATCTTGGTATGTTCCTCTCTGACCTGACCGTAACACATTCCGGGAGGGCTTTGGGGCTTGCCTTCTGCAGGTACGCCGCGACCTCATCTTCAAGCTGGCGATGGATGTCCTCGTGGCATGCTGCGGACGGCAAAGCGCTGCAAAGCACCGCTGGGAACGCCGAAGTCACTCCTTGGTACCCCCTTCTGTACGGGTTCCCGAGGTGGACCAGCCACTCTCCCGCACGGCCTTCCGTGCAACGGGGGTGCAGAACCTGAGCATCGCTCGCTGAGCAGGACATCCGAAGATGCCAAAACCCTCGGCTGCCGAGTAGCTCATCGACACCGCCAAAGCCAAGATAGTTGTAGGACGACAGGTTCACGCACTTGCGTGTGTTCTTCGTGAGCTTCAGGTCATTGAGAGGGCCGAACAAGTCTCCACCCGCCCGTTCTCTAATCACAACATCAACAGCAGCATCAGGGGCAGAGGCGATGGGTCGTGCAAAGCAATCTACATAGAGCTTGTACATATGCTGCAAATAGAAGTCGGTCCATCCAACACTCCACTTCTCTCGCTGCATGTACCGGACACAGATTTCATCCTTCAGGAAGAAAGCACACGCCCGGACAATGTACTCACGAATGAGACCAAGGCAGAAGAGGCGCACATATCCGAAGTAGGCATGAGCTTCCTGAAGGAAGGTCATCTGAATCTTCTCATGTGCTGCGCTGGCATTCTTCTCACCCTTGGACGCCTTAGAGCGGCGGCTAGGAAACAACAGCCTTAGCAGGGCTGCCATAGCATGGTTGAAGAGGGTGAGGGCTGTGGCAATGAGGCTGGCCACTGCCTCGAGCATGCCAGAGAGACCCAGAGAGGAGGCATGGTCTCGAGGATCCCAGCCCGTAAGTAGCGTCCACAAAGCACCCTCTGGGGTGAAGAGCCGCCACAATGGCTCCAGGAGTCCCAGCCCGGTGCCGTCCGAGAAGAGGTCCGAGAAGAGCAAGTCCGTGGAGTCCGCGCACTCCATGAGGTGGGACGTGGGAGCATTGGAGTAGCCAGCCTTGGGGCTCTCCTCCATCAACGCCAGCAAAAACCCCACGAAAGCAATCGTCGCACAGCACGTTAGGAAGAGGCCAACCTTGGCGACTCAGGCAGGAATCATTATCATTATCAATCGTGAACTCACGTCTCCTACCTTCGTGGCAACCTGAGACGCTCCTACAAAGCCCGAATGAACCGGGCCGCGCCCCAAGGGCTGGCAACAACATCCTCAACCGGCAGCATCCTCTGATTTGCAGGTGGCTTGCTACAATGGCTCACCGTTCTACCTAGTTCATCTTGAGCACCCAATGACGCAGCGAGAGGCGACTCAGACTCTGTTCTGCGGCCTCTCTCTGCTCACTACTGGCATCGGCGGGGAAGGAGGCCCGTGCACTTTTGGCAGGCCTGCCTCAGGGTGTCGGAGAGCCTCCCTCGTAACCATCGAACCGTCGCCCGATGTGCACCTCAGCTCAAGCTTGAGCACTAGGCCTGGGGCTCCTTATCCCCCCATCAAGTCTTGGTGCCCGACGTCGTCCCAGATCCCACTCCTCCAAACAGAACCAGAACGCATTCTGCTGGATAGCAAGGTGTCAAAAAGCATTCGAAGATGCAGACGCCTGGAAACTGGACCGGAGCCAGGACACGCTGGCTGAGAGCAAGGCCAGGCTGCCTCAAGGACGAAAACCTTCTCACCTGCACTCGGCCTGACGGTTTGGTGTGGAGCCTTGTCCATCACCGGAGCCCCCCAGCACTATGCCTGGGCACTCTCAGGTCTTTTCAACGCGTACAGCACATGTCTGAGAAACATGTCTGTCTGCATTCCTAGAAAAAACTCAGGTGCTCTAGGAATCCAGAAGCTACGCTGATGCTGTACAAGTCGCCTGTCTGGGACCTCTGCTCATGGTACTGCGGATGTACTGCAGTGAAGACAAGTGCCAGATATGCTCTCGAAGTCTCCTCTTATGGCAGCCCTTGACAGACGGGATGCTTCACATAAGGGCACTTTCAATGACAAATGTGCTTTGCTTCCAGCACAAGAGTTCGCATCTCCACCTCCACCACGGAGAGTGGTTGCTGGCTTGTGGGCCATAGACTATTTCGAAAGAAGCTGCACATAGTCGGATGGCAACACAAAATACAAAAGCTCACGATCAAGAGGCTTGCTCCAATGCAGGTGACTTGTCCATCAAGCTTTCCCCGATCTCAATAGCATGCAATGAGAGGCATCTCAAAGCAGCACATCTCTCTGAGGCCAGGGCAATATTCCAGCGCCATCGTTGTCACTGCCTGACCAGGGGCTTACCGAACACGCTTGCTTCGGATGCGGATGCGGATGGGGATTGTTGATGAGTTGCTTGCAGCCTGAAGTCGGAGATCTGCCCAGAGAAGCAAGAAGCCAAGAGGACATTCCGAGCACACAGTTCAAAGCATGCAAGCTTGCAGTCAGTCGCCCGAAAATATTCCTGTTCCCCACCAATTCTCAAGAAGTGCCTCAGGCCGAAGCCTTCTGGGTATCCCGGCCAGACACCAGCCCCGCGTCGCCCCGGGCACGAGGAGCCGACGGAGCTCTGCTGCCGGAAGTGTGGGGGCCTGGCGGTCCGGCCCTGGGATATCAGAGCTCATCCTTTTAAGGGCGAGAACCCTACGTAAGTTAAGGGTTTGCAATCTGTTCCGGCGTTCCGCTCGCTGCCGCTCGCTGCCTCGGCCTCCTCCAGGCGCCGCCTTTTCGTGGGCGGCCCCTCCTCCAAACGACGCCACGCGCAAAACGAAAGCACAGGTGCCCTCTTCTGAAACAAGCCGCCAGCCCTCCTGGTCGGTGTCGGAGCAGAGCCGCGCAAGCACCTTTCGCCGGATGACGCAGCTGTGCTCTCCTCGCAGTCGTTTCTTTGTCATGCCTGCATCCAGGCATTCTGGTCCGCGCCTCGCGAAGGCCCCTACAGAAGTGCCTGCTGAACAGAAACTGGAACCATCGCCAAGGCCACCACCAGGAAGCTGCTGCTCGGAGGTGCAAGGAATCCTTCATGAATTTTGCCGAGCTGCTTGCAACCCTACATTCTCGACCAGTGCTACAACCTGCGAGTCCGACATTCAACGGCCCACAGCAATGGACTTGTCCAATCTTCGCATGCGATCAAACAAAAGACTTTCAGCAGCTAAAGTGCTGCAGCCTCCACTCTGGCACAGGAGGACTTGTCGGCGCAAGCTCCAATCTGCACAACAGACAAGACTGGCCCATGACACTTGCAAGAGCATCCTACGAATGGGCAGTACAGTACGACCGATCCATCTTCCCTTTCAGACAGCTGGGATTTCAATTGCACATTGGTTAGGTGAGTTCGTGGCACTGGGCCCACACCGATCTGCATTCCACTTGCAAACGTCCTACTCGTGGCAGGAGTGTGAACATGCCCCCATCTGTCATTAATAAAGGCATTCCAACAACCGGGGCCACAGAACTGTCTCGCTTCGTCAGTGCCAAACTGCAAACTGCCCTCACTTCGAAGAGAGAGATGCAAACATTGAACACTTCTGCTTGAAGCAGTACTGTGTTGGATCCATACACTCCCTGCTGCCGACTGGCTGAGAGAGGGGAAGACGCGCAGGAATCACCATTTTGGAGGTTTAGGTTCTGAAAATGGGAAAACTGTGATTCCTGCGCGTGTGGTGGAGCAGCCTGCAGACGGCATGATTGAATCACATGTGTCAAGGTTACACTTCTGTCCCGATGCAAATCTTCTCGGAATGAGAACTCCACTCCACACGAGCACACACTGCTATGGTTGAGCCGCTTGTCATTGTGCTCAGAAAGCTTGTCAGTGTGCCTGTCTGCCCTCACTGGGGTGAACTGGGAGAAAGGGGATAAACTCCTTACAGTAAAGCCTCTCGCGCCGTGCTTTCAGCGCATCTGCACCTAGGCGCCACAAAGAGCAAAGGCCGCATCGCTCTGGGATCACGATCAGCTAAGGCTGGCGCAAAGCCAGACGGCACAGATGGAAGCTTCCCTGCGGCAGAGTACTGACTGGCAATAGACAACAAACCTCTCTCTCTCTCTCTCTCTCCATGCCTACTTGCGTCGCGTTTGTGCTTCGTCATCTTGCGTCTGTCTGATGTGTGACGAAATCATCTTGCCGAGTTCCCGCCTGGTCCTCTCACTGTCCAAAGCACCTCACGTGACAGCTGGGCTCGGCTCAAGGTCAATGCCGGTTTCCTCAAGTTCAGCATTCCGAGTGAGGCTAATAAGAACAATCGCTGGCTAGAAAACGGATCGTGGGTCGGGAAGTTGTCATCAGCTCACAGACCCGGCCGGAAGTGTCGCCTTGTTCCTTGACGAATGCCCATGCCGCGTCGAAGACCTGCACTCGAGGCGGAAGACAGGATGAATCGTTCAACGCTCTGCCCTCTGCAACATGCTCGCCCAAAGTCAGCGCTTTGTGTCCCCAAGCCTTCCTCACCTGCTCAGATCCAGGTCCTTGCAGGGTGTATGGGAAGTGGTTTCCTGGCTGTCGCAGTCAGAGACATGAGAAGCTGGTCGACAACGCAGTCCTTGGAGCATCGGGAGGACTCGCCGGAGCTGCTTCAGGATCTCCCCTGGCAAAATCTCACGGGAAGCTTCGGGAACAGTGGCTGAAGCGACTGCCGCTACTATGCTTCCAGATTCCAGGCACGGCAACCTTGTGACGAAACTAGTCCAAAGTCACCAGGCAGTCTGCATTCTCATGGACCCCTCATCAGGTTCTGCCTCGCGACAGTTCATCAGCCTCGCGTCCGAGAAGACCTGCGCCACAGCATGAATTCATTCAATACTCTTTGGCAACGGAACACTTCGGTCACTTGACATGGTCTGAGCATGTTGGGAGAGGTTTCATCGCTTCACGGCTGAACATGGTTAGAGCCAGTCTCCTCACTTGTTCTGGGAATGCTGGTCATGCTTTGCAAGAATCAGAAGCTGAATGCAGTGGTGGCCTACCAGCAGCTCGCTGTGATTGGAGGCTTCGCCTGATTTTACCACAATCTCTCCCAAGTTGCACCCCGCTAGTTACAAAGCAGGCACGACACTTACGTTCCAAACCTACCGAGCAGCACTGGAATCTAGAACTCCATCCATGCCAGATCCATCTCCAGGAGTTTCAACAAGGCAGAAAGCCCACAGCCTGGTGCCCACATCGCAAGGCGTGTGGAAACGCACAGCCTCACTGGGGTCAAGACCCATGCCAGGAGATCTCAAGCTGCCCAAAACAAGATAGAATAGCTTCTAAAGCCTTAAGATGGAAGAGGTTCTCCACTATCAGCCCACTGCGACAGCGAAAGGTTACCGACAAATTCGGCCGTGTGTGGGGAGGGGCCGGGAAAAGGGGGCTTTTTGGGCATGTTCAGTGCTCCAAATACAGCCAAATCTGGAGGCTTGAAGGATATCGACCACATACACAGGCATCGTTCAAGCGGCCGTGGCCTTTGCACCATGTCCTTGGAACCTGAGGCAGCAGTGATGTGAGAGGCACCTGGGCAAGTGGAGCCAATCTTTGAAGGTACGTTTCAGATCGCCCAAGATGTGAAGAGATTGCCAGAACATGCGTCTTAGAATGGCACATCGCTTGTAAGCCTGCTGAGGTGTCAATAAGCTTGATGGACGTGGCAAAACACAACGACCCTCGGTTCAGAAGGCGAAAGCTGCCTTTGTTGCAGCATCCAGTTGCTTCACGTGCCTGCGATGTCTCCGCACAGGGCAACAGAGCCCTGCCAACACAGACCCACCGCAAATCGGACAAGGCGAGCCTCAAGTTGTCGAGGACTCCCGGCTCGGTGTGCAGTCCCTGTGGCTCAACAATCGATTCTCACAGACAATTAGCGCCAGTGCCGAAGTCAAAGGATCGCTGGCCTCCTTCTCCCCATCCATCGTCCCAGGTCCAACTGAGAACTCTACAAGCGAGGACAGCCTGGGCCACAGCTCAGGCAGCTCTCATCCCTAGCGTTATTGCGCAGCTTGAGACGGAGGCGTGTCTGCAGGAAGCCTGCCCGCAGACACACACACACACTTCCGATGACTTCCGGCTCCCCGCCGCTCCCCGCCCTCTTGGCCCTCCCGACCTCGGGCAGCGGAAGAGCTCCCGAAGCAGCCGCCGAGCCGCCTCGCGCTCCTCCTCGGCATCGGCTGAAAACTCCTCTGCTTTGCAACTCGGTTTCTCTGCGGTGGACCTCCTCCTCGAAAACGTCGTCATCGGGATCTGACACAATCCGGGGTCTCTACAGTCATGCAGGTTCGAAGCCATGTAACGCAGATGTGGCCAGCAAACCTCTTGTAAACGTATCTTGCAGGGCTTGTGGAGAACAGCCGAGAAGCCCCGCTTCAACCTTGAGCACCACACACTCACAGCGCACCTGCGCCGAGGCCGGCTGCTGTTGCTGCACGCTGTGCGAGGCAGCGGGTCAAGGCACTGCACTTTGGCCTGGGGGCGTCGACTGCCTTCTGCTCATGTAGCTCAGGACTGCAGAACAACTGAGTCTAGTCAGGAATCCGGAAGGTTGCACTATGCTTGCGGGCGATAGTTTTTCCTCAGCTAGGCCCTGCCTAATTAGACCGTGCCGAAGCCTTTTCCATAGAGTTTCGGTGCGATTCCCACAACCACAACAAAGATTGAAGCTGCCTCAGCCCCGCATGCAGGAGCTGTGCCGACGCACGCAGCAGCGCCGCAGACGTCAAAGGCTCCGGCCCTTGGAGATCCGTGTATTCCAGTGCTCATAGCCAAATCGCACGAGCGTCAGCCTCCGGAGACAGTCTCCGGGGTTCCAGCGATGGTCTGCAAGCAGCGCACGGTGGCATGTGTCCGCGAAACGAGGACCTTCCAAGCTGCAGAGGGCACTCGCAGTAACTCTTGGCGTGCGGCCCCCTACGCTTGGATCGGTGTTCTGAATGTCGCATACTGCCGCATACTCAGATCCACTTCAACTTTCAACCACAGGGCCCACACCCATTCCTTCCGCCAGTGCTTTTGCCGACCAGACTGCCTGCCACAACAAGCAAGACGGAGAGGAATGCATCAGTTCCTGCCCACTGCCTGCTGCTGGCTGGACATCATCCTTGCTGCCATTGGGAGCCTCATCGTTCCCCTCTTTTGAAATTGCAATCACAGCGGACTTTTGATGACGCGAAGCCTTAAAGCGCACGGATGTTTGCGGGGTGGTTTAAAAATAAGCGCATTTCCCTCAGCTTCGAGGCTCTCCATCCCCGGTTCAGGCGAGCAAACGGAAAGCAACGCCCGTGGACCGGCACCTCGCTGTCGCCAGGATGCTCTGGAGGCCTGCAGAACATCCTCGACTGCTGCTCTCGCATCTCCCTCTGCACTGGGTCCGAGACTTTCCTCCAGTGCAAGCAGCGTCTGCTCGGCCTCCGCAGATCGGAGCGGCATTCTAACTTCGGTGTCGGCACAGGGGCATCGATCTGCGTGGCTTACTTGGCAGCCATTGCCAGCCCAACAGTGGCAACAGCCGAAGTTGCCTCTTCCTTCGCCATGGCCCGTGCGATGCACAACCTGAGCGAGAGGGTGCACACGGGTCTGCCGTTCATCGTGGCATCCCAGAGACTCATTGTACGCAGGGTGCCGCAGAATGCGGTGTGTTTCGTTTGCTTGAAGAAACCTGAAAGCCTGAAGCTTTGACTCTTTAACCATTCAGCAACACATGCGCAGTTACTGATAGACCGGCTGCTTGCCCTCACAATGCTCCAGTGCTGTTGAAGTCGCAACGCTTGCCCACGGAAGCACACCTGGTCCGGGCCTTCCTTGGCAGCCTGGGCTTTCCGGACCATGGGCGGAAAGCTCTGCCACAGTTTCTCGCTGGAAACCCAAGCATCTATGAAGCAATTTGCAGGTCGGGCACGTTTGCTAATACGACACTGACTTCGGTAAAAAAACTGTAAAAGAATCTTTCCGTCTGGTGGTGCTCATGTTCGACTCTTGTTGTACGCTTGTTTTTGTCACAACATGATGTTGACATCTTACTCAAATGGATTGTCGCTCCAATCTGGTCGCAATACTGTCTCGCTTCGAGACCGCCGCTAAGCTTGCAGGATCCACACCCTGCCAACTCAAGGCCGACAAGCGTTGATATACAAACTTTGAGCTACCTGACGATCAATGTCCGATACACTTGCACTTCATCAAGACCACACAATTCGCATTTTCGGGCCCGCGCAAGTTCAGCAGCCTTCCTGATGCAAGCTGCACGTTCGTCATGATCAACGCCTGCCTGCAGATCAAACATCACAACTGGCAAATGCATTCCCATCAAGTTTTATCACGCGTGAACTATGTGACCGTGTCATGGGTGTTGATCATGTGCAAAGAATGTAGCATGACCGAATGGTCGGTCCTCGTCATTGGACACACAAATCTTGTTCAACAGCAGCATCCAATACCCGTGGCGCTTTTCCTCGGGTGCATAAACCGGCAAACGCACAAACACACTTGAAGCTATATCGACACATGGCAACCACAATTGCAGAAATGCGTCAGCTGTCATTGTTGATCAAGCTGGCAAAAACTAGGTTAAAGCAAATTGTGTTGCAAGGTCTATGCAACTTTTCAATTTCGTGCGATGCTGTGCCTTATTCCCATGCGTGTCTTGGACTCTTGCGCAGCCCATGGCTCATAAACAAACGAAACATTCATGAATTCATCACTTCAGTACGTTTTGCCAAACAACTTGGTCTTCATGCCAAAGCCAAAAGACCAGAACCGCATCTTCCACAGCAAGAACAATAGTTGCAGCAGCAACCATTTTCATTGACTGAGCAACCGGGAAAAAAACAGAGTGTTAAAGAATGCAAACGAGTTAGACTGTCTGTCAAATCGTTCAATGCTCTTTGCAACTCGTCAGACTTAGTTTGGACAAAGCTACGTGAAGACTGGACTCTTCGCACGTTGATGGCATTCCCTTCTCAAAAGTTCCAAGAGCAAACTGCTTGGCAAAGTTTAAGACATGGAGCGTGTTCAAGCAGCGATGCAGTGCTGTTGTTTGGCAGTGGTTCCAACAGAAACGATTGTCGACATGTTGGCTTTGACTAAACCGCAAACGACACATTGTTTTTTGGTAATGATTTTGGAATGCGTGTTTCCTTGGGTTTTTGGCAGAATCGCCTTTCAAAAGTGGCAACTGTCACAGGGTTCTGCTTGGAAAGAAGCATTTTCTGGTGCTTGAGACCTTGGCGATTCTTGCTGACGAAGGAGGCTTTTCGTCCTCGGCTTCGAAACCTTCGAAGTCTTCTTCGAAGTCTTCGAAGTCAAAGGTTGAAGGGCAGCTTCGAAGCCCTTTCTGCTAAAGGATCTGCAGTCCCCGCACGACGTTCTCGTGTGGCTTTCCTTTTCGTTTCGAGAGAACGGTTTTCTTCCTGTCGACCTTTGAAGGCTTCGAAGTCTTAAGAAGGTTCTCAAAATGAGCTGTTCTTAAAAAATCGCAACGTATTCATGGGCTCCAACAAAGGTGTGGATATTACAATACTCTACACTTTGCGGCTTGATGAATGGCACCGAGAGACGCCCTAGAATCCTTCGGGAGCTTTAAGCAATCAAAGAGAACTAGGGAGAATTGGAATCACTCCCTCTCTGAAGACTTCCATGTGAGACTCTAAACTTTTTTCTTTCTTATGACACAGTTGCTACGCGCAGTCACTACGTGTCACTACATGGTTTCTGCGTGGTTTCCGGACGCTCCTTTTCACCAGAGCCGAAAAGTGTTGACACCGCTCTGCACGTCAGGCTTCAGCTCCAAGTCAAACCAAGCAAGCACAAGCACTGAACTCTCGGACACTTTTTCTCACACTCGCGGTCTTGAGCCGAGGTCGTGTCAAGTAACTTGCAGACTCTACACGGCTTCCCTGGCAAACTCCAACCACTTCAACTCACTCAAACAAGCTGCGCGTCAGTAGCT